ACACGCCGCGTTTCCCCTCACGCCGTCTCATAGAAGAGGGGGGGGACATACCGCACCCAACGCCTCCCACTATTTTGGAGGTGGCCAAGGTTGAGAAGCACTGCCCCAAACAGTTCAAAAACAAGAGCAAGGGTGTCCAGAACAGGCCACTGGCTGCTTTTGAACCCTCCCAAAGAGAAGAGCAACTACTGTTTCAGGGCCAAGGATATCCGGTACTCATTCAGCTCCTTGAGATCTTCTTCGTGACGCTGCTTTTCTATCAGTGCTTGCTGCCGAGAAACTTCATCGAGGAACTTGGATTCATCTTCATCCAGGCCCCTGACCATATTTTCTGTAGACAACAAGCCAACAGATTGTGATAAGCCCACATATTTGGCTACAGCATCTCTGCCATCCCATTTTTTTCCTCATTTGAGCATGTTTTTATTCCATCCACTAGGAAGGTATGGTACAGCCTGTTTCATGGACATCCATTCAGATGCAATGGACAAAATTTTAGTTTGGACTTCACCCCAAACTAACCAAGTCTGTTTTTGAAGGACTCCACACAATTGATGTAACTTCTGTCATTTGTGTAAATTTACTTATTTGTATAAATGTACATCATTTGTGTGATTACACAATTACATCAATTATGGAAATGTCATAAATGTGCTTTAACAGACTTTGGATTCCAACAGACCTCTCCCCCCCCACCATTCATCTGAAAAATCAAGGTTTTACTGAAGATTTTTGAAAGAAGGCTGAACCAACATCCTGGCTGATGTTATCACAGTAATTATACATTCACGTTTACCTGTTTTATCGCTGTTTAATCTACTTTCAAGATCCACATTTTCCAAGAGTGTGAAAGTTCACACATAGCCTTCTTTTGTAACACTTTAGCTTCCTACATACAGGAATACTGTTTTTGGCCCGATGAAGCCAGAAACAGGCTTCATCATATTAGGGAATGGGCTGCCAAACCATGTCAAGCTAGCTTTACCATGGTTTGATGAATTAGTTTGCAGTGCCCTGGCTCACACATAACATACAAATCAGAAACCCTGGTTTATAAACCCCAATGGTCAGGATAATGCAACATGTTAAGGCAAAATCAAACCTCCCTTATTGTTTGCCACAACGTGTGAACCAGTCAGAATCTAGAGAGAGAAAACAGTAGCTATGAGGAAGGAACAAGGAGCACCACCCTGAACTAAAATTCCTCGCTATGATACCTGGGGGTTCATCCAACAGTTTGGGCTCTAAGATTAAAGGTTACTGAAGATAGTACGCTTGATTTTAGCCAAAAGGCTGAGAAGTAAAGATGCTCCCATTCATCTTTATAATCTTAAGGACTAGAAACATTAACAAAACAGTATGGGATGTTAAGGATATGAAATTCTGTGCTTACTCAGCAATCCACATAGCCCTGAAAACAGCCCCATTTCAGCAGACCAGGTGACGCTTTTACACACCAGGGTAACAAAATGCAGTAAAGAGAGTCAGGCAATGATAAAGAGGCACAAGAGAGACACGCTAACTGCTTAAAATACACCAATAAACCCACTCAACCAAAACCAAGCCAATTATGGCTCGGCATAATGTGGGAAGCCACTCCTTTCCAAAAGGCAATGACTGCCAAAGCTTTATGGGAGGAAAGCACATGCAAAAGGGTCACTCTAAGAATGTTGCACCAAAAGACTCTCAGGATGACCCTTACCTGAAAGGCATTGCCAGCCAGAATAAACAAGCTAGGGAGACTAACAGTTTGATACAGTGACGACCCTGAGATAATCCTGAGTTAAAAGATTGGACAACACTTCATATTCAACATCACAAGGTGTTTCAGAGCATGCAGGAGTGCAAATACAGCACCTATTTGTTAACACCTTAAAACAGCTGCACCTTTTCCAAGGATTATGGGGTTGCTTTAAGGCAGTGTTTCTCAACCTTGGCAACTTTAAGATGTGTGGACTTCAACTCCCAGCATTCCCCAGCCAGCATGGGAGTTGAAGCTCACACATCTTAAAGTTGCCAAGGTTGAGAAACACTGCTTTAAGGGGTTGCAGACAGGTGTCAAAATCATGCTCTAAAGCCCCTGCCGGAGACAGCGTTCAAATCATGCAGGGCTTAATAAGCAGGCTTTTTCAGTTTGATCCAACTTTAGCTGAATAGCTCCCAGGGGGCAACGCTTAATCCAAAACATCCTGATCCATTCATTAGTATTGCTGAGAAAGGAGCAAAGGGGCTGCACTAGTAGCTGGAAGACTTTCATGAGACTGATGTAAGCAGGGATGGGCAACCCATTTACAGCTCCCAAGATCACACCACTGAAATTCAGTGGCAAAGTGGCCACTGTTTGATTATGCAATTTTCACTTAATTTGGTGTGTAGCTTTAAGGGTGGGGATGGAGGGGTAATACCTGTATGAATACCCGCCTTTAAAGTCTCACAAGCCATCAAGATTATGTTGCAACTCCCAATGACAAAAAAACTTGCCCACCTCTAACCACAGTCAAAATAGTTCTGTCTGAACTAGCTTGCTACAAAAACAGCTTCATGTAGGCAAGAAATAGGGGAGAAGATTAGGAAGCTAACAGCAAGGACTGGCAGATGGAAAGATAAAGACAAAACACAAATGTTTTCCTCTGGATATCATTTCCCCACTGCCAACACACATACAGAGGTAGAACAAGTCCTTTGCCCCATTAAATCTGCAACTTTTGAAGCCAAGAAGAAAAGTTGGCAGCTATGCCAAGCCTCACACTACAATGCTTTTTCCCTTCCTCTGCAGAAGTAGATAAACTGCTTTCTGGAATCCAGCAGTAGCCAAGAGGCCAGCTCTGCTAACCTTGGCACAAATGAGGGTTGCTGGGGCATTTTCCATAATGAAGCATTCCAGGAAAGATAGTTCCGTTCTTAAGGACAAAATTCCAGGGACATAAGAGAGGAAAAGCAATGGGTTGCCTCTCCATGTGACAGAATTTCAGAGACGCTTACTGGAACTTACTGAATTTGAACTGTTCTTCAAACTCCTGCTGCTTCTTGTCCTTCTGTTCCTGAAGCCTTTCATAGAGAGACCGGGGGTCATACACTTCTTCGGGACATTCTAGGAGATGAAGAAACAGATTTCTCAACTGGCGTTCAGGAACTGCTCTAACAGACAAGTTACTCCATCAACCATGTTAATAAACCACAGGAAATTACAAGCCCTCCTGCCTTAAAGCACATCCCACTGGCCATTTTTATGTTAGGAAGAGAAAGAACTGATACCTATAACCTCAGTCTGTTGATACTACACGATTGGGCAGGGTTACAGTCCTGACATAGTGAAGTTAATGCACACTTTCTACAAAATAGACACATGATGCTACTGCTCTAAAATAGTAGTTGTAATACAACACTCTGTTACACATTCAAGTACAGCTAATAAAGAGTTATTATACATTATCTTGAGGAGGCAGCATAATACAGTGGCTGAGAGAACGAGCTGTAGATCAGAAAGTCCCAACTCAAGTCTTGTGTCTGCTATAATTTGCTCGGAGCTTCAGGAAACCATTAGCCTCACTCCATCCCGGCATATCATGACTTATTTCCCTCTGTTTAAAAAAACCACGGAAGCACTAAGGAATGCTATGAGTGCTAAAAGTTAGTCACCGAATATGTAAATTGTCCTTTGTCCTCCTAACACCGGTATGCCCAGGAAGATTACTGCATAAACTTTCCTCCTTGGTTCCCCCCCCCTCAATTTAAATAAGTAGCTAGAAATATTTTCAGGATGCTATAAGAACCGGTCTACAAGTTTCATCTTGGTTATTACTTATAACTTTGCTCAATTATCCTTCCAGTCAAGCCTTGTCCATGGCCAGTATCTTGGATGAATGTGCTTTAGATCAACACTGAACCTGCTTGCGATTGTCACTAGATTCAAAGCTCCCGTAAAGCCTCTTTTGGTAATCCCCCATTGATAGCCAAATACCTTTGGGATCTTCAGGCTTTCGAACCTTCTCCCATTCCTCCTGTCTTCGCTTGCGGCGCTCTTCTAACTCAGCTTCTGAGACAAACCTTTTGTTAATTACAAGTTCAGCACTGCTTTCTCCGCCTTCCATTCTGGAGCAGCCTACGCAGAGAAAAGGGTTAGAACCAGGCGTATACCTATAAGCTGTGCTTTCTGGCCTAGAATAGCCAATAATGCAATTTTTGTTTTGTACCTTGACCTAAAAACACAGGCCTAGCACTTTGTTTGGAAGTGTGATCATTTGCCCACAAAACAGACAAAGGGAAGCTGAGGTGATAGAGAACATGTCAGACAAGTTATAGGGGGTGGTAAAGTAAAAGGGATGTTTTGTATTTGGCTATGCCCTTCATTGGAACCATCTTATGGAATACCCATAAACCTCACGCTTTTCAAATTCCAAATGTGCCAATTGACTCAAAAAGGTTGCAAAACAATTTTCTCCTTTTTTCAATCTCCTTTGAGCTTTGAAAAACAATTTTTCAACTGACTAAATTTGACTTCTTTCAGTTGGCTAGACTACCACTCAACAATGCGAAGTACTGTTTTTACTAATTTCTGTTTTCATACGATACGCATTCTGTTTAGCTCAATATTCCTTCTCTGCGGTAGCCCCCACTCTTTGGAACATTCTGCCCCCGGAGGTGCGATTCCCCCTCACTCCTGGCCTTCCGTAGGGCCTTGAAGACCTGGTTCTGCCACTTGGCCTGGAATGGGGAGGGAATATCTCAAGCATGGGGATGGCTAGCCCCATAGAGGCCTCCTGTCTTCAGCCTCGGATTTTTCATCTTCTTGGACTCTCCTTCCCCCTTTTTAGT